ATACCTAAGTAAATTTTCAAAATTTATTTTGTGATTAATATTTACAAAATATGTTGTAAGTTTATCGCAGCCAGCCCAATCTTGCTCGTCGATGAATTCCAAGTCGATACGAAGCGCTTTGTAATTTTGCAGTTTTGGATTGTAGGTTTACGACACACTTCATACAGAATTTCCCCGTAAAAACCCACGGCTATTTTTCACAGTGTGTAGGGGTTTGGGCACCGGGCTCTAGCGCATTACCCTTTTGAGAATTTTTCATTTACCTACGAGATCAGCTTGGTATTTAATTGCTGAGCTTAACTTGAACTTGAAATTAAACTTTAACTTTAAATGCTCAGCTCTGTCAGGAAGCGCAAGGGGAGACCGCCCGGAAGACGGCGTGAAGTGAGGTGCCTGGCGTGAGATTTGGGATGTGAGGTGGACAGGCATGCCAACCAAAATCGCGAAAACATTTTAATTTTAGCGCGCCGCAGGCCAAGGTAGACGCACATTTAGCTCAGCTTCACACGGTTTTAACGTGCGTCTACCTTGTATTTAACCAATTGGTGTGTTACGTGAAATTCAATTTCGAAATTTCTACAGCGAGTAACACAGCGCACGTTGGGAATTCCCTGCGTTAGCGGCAATAGCATTTCACGACTGGGGCGCTGCTTTCCAAACATCGAGTAGTCGGTCATGTTACCGGATTGTAGGGCCGCGTGGGGGTGGCGCGGGGGGCGGTGCGGGGTCGGTTCGGGGGCGGCGCGGGGGCGGCGAGTCCTGCCCCAGGCCCTGCTGTTTACCCACAAACATCCGCGCCGCTGCCGCCGCTGCCGCCGCTGCAGGCGCGCTGGGTCTCATTGCGCGAGAAGGAGGTCAGCGGGCTGCCGCCGCTGCCGCCGCTGCCGCCGCTGCCGCCGCTGCCGCCTCGGCTGAGCCCGGCCCGCGGGAGGACGCGACACGACGGGGTGTCGTTTCTGCGTGTCGGTGGCGTGTGTGGCCTGACGCCAGCGAGTGCGTGCGTAGGGTGGCCGTGGTGAATCTGGGGAGGGAACGCCGCGGCAAAATAACTCGGGCACGGATACAGTAAAACAAACGTGATTTTTCTGTTGAACGCTTTTAAAACGAGCGCAGTAAGGGTTACCCTATCTGACAGTGCGGACGATAAAGTAATTTCAGAATCAGAGAGGTTCAATTCTACCAACCGCCCACGCTCAGACAAGGGATCCAATAGAACATTCAACCACATTTTTTGAAATGCTCTTCTACATTCTGTACAACGTCTACCTAACTATATTTTACTGCCAGAGCAAAAATTCACTCTCTAAAAGTGGAAAAAAGGTATTGAAGCAATCAGTATGTACTTCAATTTCCGACCTTCGATTTTAATCGATAACTTTGGAAGTCCAAGTGTACGAATGTCACACTCCTGCATGTGTGCGGCAGAATTTTCAGACACCTGCAGATATGTGAACCCGGCAGTTTACCGTACGTTTGCAACTCATTGTCTCGAAGTTCGTCAACGTCGCAGTCGCGCATTGAAAAACAAAAATAAAATAAACGTAAGCCAAGGTTGGTTTTGTTCGGTAATGTGCCTACAAACAGGGGCAAAAAAACGGCCGAAAAGAGACGAAATGATCCAACTTTTTAAGGGCTGGAGACGTGCGGAATTTTCCGCATGTACCCGCTCTGGCCACACCCAGAAAAGTATGTTCTTGATGCAAGTTAACTTTAATGAATGCAATCTCGATGCCATACTAGGCCTGGTTCCACTGCATCAAGTGATTTAACGTAAATCAAAAAAAAACATACTTTTTCGTGTCGTGTAGTGTGGCCTGGATCTGCGCCACACTCCCCACCACCATATGATGCCAGCAAATGCTGAGTTTTATGCATCCGGGCCCGGTGCTCATCCAAAGCGGGTCACCGACCCC